TATTTAGTACAGATGAGTTTCACTGAATGGGCTGAAGCAAAGCAAGGGATGAAAGGATTGGTTGATGTATGGAGAATTTATTCACAGGCAGGGTGTGTTTGTTCAGTGAAAATGCCATCTGCAGTCTTCTTATGCATGTCTTCCTTATAAAAATGAGAAGGTATATATGGCTGAAGTTGGGAAGTTTGAAGTAGTATTTTATCTGTAAGTGTTGTTAGATCCAGATGTGATTTTAATTATTCCAGGCTAGTTCTAATCATCATCTGCAGGATTTTGACATTCCAATGCATCTTGCTTCATAAGTTCATACCCCAGGTCTTGCCTGGAAGGTTCATATGCATGTATTGAGTTCTATCAAAGCCTTTCAATAAGGAAGAACTAAGAATTTTGAGCAAAAATACTAAAATGTGGTTATTTAGATAATAGTTCACTAAATGACTAGATTAAAGGCTGTTAATCATTTCATCACAAACAGAAAAAGATTGGGAAAATATTAATATAATAAATCTAGGTTTAATTCCTGGTGCTCTGTAGTGACAAATTTTTTCCTCAATGTCGTTAAGAGTACTTAAAATTTTTGCTTTAGTTTCATTGTGTTTAATGCAGGACTGTACTCCTGTAAGTCAACTCCTTATCCATGATTTACTTGTGTATGAAGCCCCCAATCATGTTTATGTTGCCCAAACGTGGCTGGGAGAGACAGCTGTGACATTATGAATCCAGCTGGCCACAGATGGATCTTTAGTGAAGCATGAATCCATATTGGTTTGGTGATCTATGTTTACTGCCTCCTGTTAAACTTTCAGAGACTCAACTCCTAAATCACCTGGCATTGACTACATCCACGTACACATAAGTAATAGATTGAAGTGAACTGGAACTTTTGTTGCTAGTGATCAAGTCTGTCACCTCTAATATCAATTTACTAGATTATAATTTTATGGACTGTTTAGCTGACGTTAGAATCCGATTAGTTTATGCCCATTTAGCACATGGTTTTCACCAAGTACGATAGTCTTGATAGCTTTTTAGGCTGTTTTGATAATGATGAACATATCCAAGACCCTGTATGCTGAAGTCTCCACCCATCTGTTACGGATTTGACAGTTAAACTCGAGTTCTCAAGAAAAAATAAAAACCAAAGTCACAGCCTGTAAAGAAATTCATTTAGAATTTTTAAAGAAGATATCAAAAATTGGTATTTACCAGGAAGGCTGGTAGAACTGCAAGATTTTCTAGATCTATGCATAGTGGAAATAACTAGCTAAAATAGAAAACAAACAAAAGATGTATGAATAGTTGAAATAATTAGTTAAAACTCCAAACAAAACTAAAACATTAATAGTGCCTCTAGCAAATAATATTTAATTCTGAATCACTCCCCAAAACATTGGGTATGATGTTGCACAACAACTGACTAACATTGCTGATATAAATGTGTGCCCCCTCTGTCCTATATAGCCAGAGCAGGCACTATCGTTAGTGTTAATGGGTAGGCAAATCAATGAACTAGCTCTTGCAAATTTTTGTGACAGGTTGCATATTTGTAATTCTGTATGTTTGTCTAAAGCAGGAAAAGTTAGAATACCTACTACCTTTTATATATCACTCTTCACTTTTATATATACTAGTTATTTCATAAATTGTCTGTGCTATCTCGTCTTCATTGTTACCATAGCATTCAGTACTCACCACATGTCCACAGTTCAAATCTTAGTTTACTATGGTTTCTGTGATTTAATATACATAGATCTATCCATACCATATAGAAAACAATATGAATAACTTGGTTTGCTTCATTAATTCATACAGTAAGCCAATGTTTATTGATCACATACTATACACAGAAGTGCTCTAAGTCCTGGGGAAATCAACAGTGAAAATTATGGCCAAAATAGCTCCCTGTCCTCCTGGAGCTTATTATCTAGTTTTAGACACTGTTTTTCTCTTGATTTTTGGTAGTATGGCCCTGTTTCTTGACATCCTAGTAATATTTCATTGAATGATGTTTGGTATATATAAGAATATGTAGAAGATCTAGATGATATCTTATTCTTCTGGAAAATGTTCATTCTTTCCTCTGTTAGGTGGGAGGAACAATGGGATGGAGTGGGTAAGGACTGATTCAGTTTCAGTATGGACCCATCCATCTCTGGTTTTCTCTAGCCTCCCATCCTTCTGTGTGTTCTCTTGGGCCATTCCTTCTGGCAGGCTCTGAAATTATCAGTAGTCTTCTCAACATGGTGAAATTGCCAAACCTCTGCTATGCTTCTCAGAGACTCTCTGCTTAGTCTCTTGGCTCCCCCCCACAAACATAATTTGTAATTTGGCATATGTCTTGAAAGTAACCCCAGCTGTGTATCATGCTTCCTTCCACACCCCTTGAAGATGAGGATCTCAGCTCCTTAAGTTCCTAATGTTTCTCTCTCCAGTTCGCTGGGACGGCCCCTGCCAGGGCAAAGCCCAGATTCTCATCTGCTTGCCTTGCATGCAGAATCAGCTGAAGTCCCCAGAAAAAATGGAGCTAACTTTTCCACAATTCCCTCCAGTCTGGTATCTTGGTTTTTTTCTACTTCTCATTGCAATCAGCTCTCAGGTTGTTTTAAGCAGATTTTGAGGGGCAATTTCTGTCTTTTATTTATATGTTTTAGTTGTTCTTGGCTGGATCATTAATCTCTTGCAAACTCATCCATTTTATCCCTATTTTTAGGTACTGAAATTAGAGAATGAGGTCTTCTTTCAGACATATCTATGTTACCGCAAGGAAGGTACCCTGCAATTTCCATCCTAGCTCAAGGTATTCCAGAACTAATTGGCAAAGTAGGCAGGTGGGGATGTGTCATTGAACACATCCTTCAAAATGTCACTGAAAGAGTTGCACAGTTACTAGAGCTAATACTCTGAAGTATGCTGAGTTCACTGCCCAAGAACAGTTCACCAGTAGTGATACTGAAGGGATTAAGACCAAGCTGTCCAAGTTAACTTAGGGGCTTTCGCATTGAGGCTGCTCAGATTGGTGAACTCAGTGGGAGTCCAATACTTGAGGGTAGCTCTTATGAACTGCAGCTTCTGCATGCTACTCTTGATTCTATTACGATTTATCCTGAAAGGAAATAATTCTTCATCTTCATAGTCTACTAAAATACTGGGGAACAGAGTAGATATTCTTTGTGTTTTTTTTTATATCTCACTAACCCTTATAGGAAGAAGATATAGAGAGCATAGTAGTTAAGTGTCTGAATTTGGGAGTCAATCAAATTTAGATTCAAGCCTTGTCCATTTACTAGATGCTTGACCTTGAGAAAATTGCAGAAACTCTCCAATGCCTCAATGCCTTATCTGTGAAACAGGAATAATGATACATCTCATTGCACTGACATGAAAGCTCTTGGAGACATTGTACTTAAAAGTGCTTATAATGATCTCTGGAATGTTGTAAACCAGCAGTTTATGGTAGCTATAATTATTTTAGTTATTATGAAACCTATGGAATAGAGACTCAGAATTTTGAGGTGAGAGCTTAGGATTTTTATAAAGATCTTCTAAGGTAGGTGAATGAAGCTTGTGGAAAAAAAAAGTTTTTCTAAGAGTTCATAAGTTTATTTTTGTTGCTAAGTTAAACTACTTAAATATTTATTTATTTTATGGATAACAAAACTATAAGAAAGAACTCCAGAAAAAAAAACAACTGAATTGGGATGATTTACCTCCAGTGACTTCAAAAAAGTATTTCTTCGGGGCGCCTGGGTGGCTCAGTGGGTTAAGCCTCTGCCTTCAGCTCAGGTCATGATCTCAGGGTCCTGGGATCGAGTCCCGCATCGGGCTCTCTGCTCATCAGGGAGCCTGCTTCCCTCTCTCTCTCTCTGCCTGCCTCTCTGCCTACTTGTGATCTCTCTCTGTCAAATAAACAAATAAAATCTTTAAAAAAAAAAAGAAAAGAAAAAGTATTTCTTCGTAGTTTCACTAAATAACAAACATATCATTTTCAACTGTATTTTGTATTAAATTTATACTAAATTTGTATTAATTTTGTATTGATCTAAGAAGAATCAAGGTTAACTAATAGTCTAAATTGTACAGGTGTTATCACGTTTAAGAAAAGGAACAAAATTTAACATAAAAAAATTTGAGTGAAAAAAACTTGGAGAGAGAGAAAAAGAGAAAGAAATTTGATTCCTAATTACCATTCATTAGTTATGTGGTATTGATTGGGCAACTTAAGTGATCTCCGTGTGTCCCAGTTTTCCTGGAAAAATTGTACAATGAGAAAATAATACTAGGATTTTCTTGAATATCAAATGAGGAAAAGGAAATGAACATTACATGCAATAAGCATAGTCTTGTTCTTGTATTTAATGATCAGTTGTGCCTTTGAATCTCTCTTTGGGTCATGGAGACCATGAAGCAGAAGAATTTGTGACATAAAAAGAGATGATATTAAATCTGGTTATTGGTATTTAATAATTTAAACCACATGTTTTTGAATCAAATTTTACTTTTCTTTATTGTATGGAAATTTTCTCAAATGAACATTTTTTTGACCATCGTTCAGGTATGATATTTTATCCAAAGCCTAGTCCCAGTACCTCTTCAATGGTTCTGAGTCAACAGAACTGAAGGAAAACCAAGCTTTTCTCTTCCCTTTCAAGTTACTCTGATACAGGAATTGTTTCCACTCTCTGCATACCTGAGTGAGCATGAAATGATGCCGTTACTGAGTATTTCTGTTTGATTTCTCAAAAACTGTTGTCAGTCTTACAGCTTGACAATGAAATGCACTTGGTAATTGGTATAGCCACAGTCAGTCTTCAGATCTAATTGGAACTACCCAGACACCCTCAGAAGTCTTCCTAGCCTTTCAGATCTGTAAGCATATGTGATGAGACAAAGGCAGGAGAGCATATTGAAAGGGAGGGAAGTCCCTTTGCGTGTTGTTGAACCAGAAGTCTTTGATATGGCTCTCTCAGTCTGGACAATGTCTTGTGTGTTTGTTTCCACAGAGCATATATCATTACAGACTATATGGGCATCCGAAATGAAAGTTTCATGAAATTAGCTGCAGTAGGGACCTGGATGGGGGACTTTGTCACAGCCTGGATGGTAAGAAATTTTAACTTCACCCATTTCAAACATTTGATGGAGGAAAATGTTCATAATGTTGGATAGACACTGCTTTTGATGGGTTTAGAGCAAAAGAGTTACTTCTCTCTTGAGTGGAACAAATTCATGAGTACAGATAAATTTAGAGATTATTTGCAATATCTGTTTACCTTAGGGGAAAAAATTCATGCAATAATAATATTAATGATGGCCGTCCACCAGGAAATAATTTATTTATGACATAAATACCTGTGTATCTATCTGTATACATATGAGCATACCAACATACACACATTAATGACATTAACAGAAACTTGCTTGTGATGTTGTAAATAATTTTGTGAAGATTGTTGTTTTTGACCTGTGCAAGTTTCAGGTAAGGGATATTGTCTGGCCTGTCTCAGAAGACCATATGAAAGATTTTTAACAGCTGTTTTTATTTTTTAAAATTTCTTTTTCACAACACATCTTTTACAATTTTATTCATATTGTTTTATTTTTATCTAATTTTTTTATTTGAGTATTGTTGACACCCAATTAACATTAGTTTCAGGTATACAACATAATGAATCAACATCTCTGTACGTTATGCTATGCTCACCACAAGCGTAGTTAGAGCTTTTCAAATAGTTTTCTACATTTATTTTCCTCATTGAACCTACAAAATTAACTTTGCATTGCTAGTATTTATTATTATTTAAGCCTACAACAAATAGACAAACCGTATTTCATGCTGAGTTCATCTGCCAAGAGAGTAACTTCTTGTTTCATTTTTAGTTTTCATTTAACATTTTTTGGGGGGCACCGGGGTGGCTCTGTGGGTTAAACATCTGCCTTCAGCTCAGGTCGTGATCCCAGCGTCCTGGGATCGAGCCCTGCATCGGGCTCCCTGCTCAATGGGGAGCCTGCTTCTCCCCTGCCTGCCATTCCCCCTGCTTGTGCTCTCTCTCTCTCTCCCTCTCTCTCCGTGTCAAATAAATAAAATCTTTAAAGCATTTTTTTTACTCAGGTATAGTTAACACAGTGTTATATTAGTTTCAGGTGTACAATGTAGTGATTCCACAATTTTATACATTTCTCAGTGCTCATCAAGATAAATGTACTCTTAATCTCCTTTGTCTGTTTCACCCACCCCCCACCCACCTCTCCTCCAGCAACCACCAATTCGTTCTGTGTATTTAAGAGTCTACTTTCTTGTTTGTCTGTTTGTTTGCTTTTGTTTGTTTTTATTTCAAGTTTTTATTTAAATTCTAGTTAGTTAACATACAGTGTAATATTAGTTTCAGGAGTGGGGTGCCTGGGTGGCTCAGTGGGTTAAAGCCTCTGCCTTCGGCTCAGGTCATGATCTCAGGGTCCTGGGATCAAGCCCTGCATCGGGCTCTCTGCTCAGCAGGGAGCCTGCTTCTCCCTCTCTCTCTCTGCCTGCCTCTCTGCCTACTTGTGATTAGTCTGTCAAATAAATAAATAGAATCTTTAAAAAAAAATATTAGTTTCAGGAGTAGAATTTAGTGGTTCATCACTTACATCTAACACCCAGTGCTCATCACAAGTGCCCTCCTTAATGTCCATCACCCATTTAGCGCCCCCCCCCCCCCCCCCCCCCCCTCCATCCCCAGTTTGTTCTCTGTATTAAAGGTCTGGGTTTTTATTTGTCTCTTTTTGTTTCTTAAATTACACATGTGAATGAAATCTTATGATTTGTCTTTCTCTATCTGATTTATTTTGCTTAGCATTATATCCTCTAGGTCCATCGATGTTTTTGCAAATGACAAGATTTCATTCTTTTTTATGGCTGAGTAATATTCCATGGTATATACATGCCACGTCTTCTTTACCCCCAAAAAACCAAAACACTAATTCAAAAAGATGTATGCACTTCTGTGTTTATTGTAGTGTTATTTACAATAGCCAAGATATGGGAGCAGCCCAAGTGTCCATTAACAGATGCGTAACTCTGTTTTAACCATTGGATTAATGAAGTACAGTATGTAGCTTGAAAGTTCTAGGTCCTATGAATTTATAAGACAATCTCAGAGTACAAAGAGCATAACTCTCCTAAAAACGGAACATGTTAACCTTTGTTGACACCTCTCATAAGTGTAGTTAATCATAATTGGCTTTATTCATCTTCACTTGAAAATGAGAGGACCTACCAAAGGTGAGGGTGCCCTACTTAAACAAGACTTGCAGGGACATGCCCCTACAAATAGTGTCCCAAGTAACGATTGTCGCAACTGTTACTGCCCTTTCTGTGGATAGCTTTGTGTCTTACGTATGGATACCTTTGTGTCTTACCTAGAACAAGTGTTTTCAGGAGACAGGAAACAGTTATATCTTTACTGCTACTACTGTGATCATCCTGTAAGAATATCAAGGAACTACCAAGGGGTTTGAATAGCTCATTTTTGAGCCTCCTCCCATACCTGTTCAATTTTAGAATGTTAATAGAACAAAGTACCAAATGGATCCCATTCCATTAACTTTAAAATCTAGTTTTGAAAACTGATTTATTTGTAATCAACTAGATAATAAACCAAATGTCAGGGAACATGGCTGACTCAGTAGGTAGTGCATGCGACTTTTGATCTCAGGGTTGTGAGTTCAAGCTCCATGTTGGACACAGAGCTTATTTTAAAAAATGCAGAAAATTCTTTAGAAAAAAAAAAAAAGAAGCCAGATATTAAGAGGAGGCTGCCTCGTGTCACAAATATCTGTTTCCATTGGGAAAAACTATTTAGAAGGAAAACTATTTCCCTTCTAACACTATTTCCCTTTTAGAAGAGAAAGTAGAAGGAAAACTTTAAACACGTAATTTCCATGAAATATGAGGTGATAACTTCTGAAAAATTTCTGCACTAACTGTGGATTGTGATATTCTTTTTTACTCCATTTTATGGTGAATCTGCTTAATAAAATGGGAAAGAGAATTCAGAAATTTGGATTCTCTGACCTTGCTGTGTCTGGCTTGATCTTCCACAAATAATAATGCAATCCTCTGAGCCCCGGTTTGCACATTTCTTTAAGGGGGCTAATAGTTGTTATCCATGTTATAGGTTTTCTATGAAGATGAAGTATGTGGTCCCGTGATGCTGGCAGTGCGAGGGAGATAGAAGTGCTTTATTGCAGCTGTTCATGTTTTTCCCAGCTTATCCCAGGCTTTTGGTCCAGTTTCTAGACCAAGGTCTGGAGTTTTCTCCAGTCACCCGAGTTAGAACACACTAAGGCAATATGATCCATTACTTCCTGACTTCCATGCAACTCTGCGCCTGATCAAAGTCATGGCAGAAGCACCAGACCAGCAAGCCCCAGGACCTTATGCTACAGTTTTCAGGCTTAAGTCCACCATTTGATACAGAAGTTATTTTCTTTCCCATGACGACATCGTTATTTGTGGCCCAATTCTATCTAAACCCTCCCCAGACTTTCCCTCAAGACAGTGTTTCTAATACCATATGTGGCTCTGCCCCTATTTACTAGTTTTATTTTTTTAATTGGGATTTTTTTTTTCTTTTGAATTATAAGGTGGGGTCCAACTTCTAGGACAGCCTTGAGAGGCAAATGCCTGGGGCAGCTTCTACCAAAGACCTTTACCTTTTCTAACTGGATTTCTACTGTGGACTCATCTGCCCTACTCTTGTGGCTTAGCAGAATACAAATAATTCCACAGTTCAGCTGTGGCTTTTCTCTCCCTCTGAGGTCTGGCTGACCTTCATAGTTTCTCCTAAATCTACTACTGTAATGCCTTCTATTTTTGCTAGCTAACCTGGTAACTTTTTACTTTTTTCAATGCTGCAGATTACTGTGATCAATACTTCCAGTACCACCAAGGTAGGACAGGATTGAGAATCAAGAAAACTGTGTTTTAGGCTTAACCCAGCAGTGTGATCTTAAGTCACTTCACCTTCTGGGGCCTCCCATGTTTTTCTTTCTGTAAACGGAGAGAGAATCAATCCAAAGTCCTTTTCTGCTTATGTTATATGAAATATTGACCTTTCCCTGTTAGACACAGAGATGGAAATGGCAAAGGAAACACAGTGCCCTTCTGATTTGAAAGTACAGTCACACAGGGAGGCTTCCCAGAGCACATCATTTCTATTCCCATTTTTATTCACCGACTAGGTGGTAAGTTTCCATATAAATATTTATATGTCTACATATGTGTGCATTGATAACATTTTAAAAAATAATAGTTTTCCTCATGAGAGGAGTCTGAGGAGCTTTGACCTTCATTTGTCTATTGAATTCTCATCATGAAGTGAATATCAATGATGAAGGTGACTGTCATGGAAAAGTAAGTGACTATTTACATTTCCAATAAAAGTGTGCCTTTTAATGTATTTCTGAAATGGAGAATTTTTCTTTTATGGAAATAGTTCAGAACTTCCCCATGGTTTTAAAAGGCATACTGGGACTGATACATTCCCCAGGCATAGCTGATCTCAACCAGTCTCACAACTGTCTTTGCCCCTCACACTACAGAGCATCAAACTCTACTAGGTTCAATTTCCTAGGCCATCCTGACTATTCTTAGCTCTGTGGGATGCTTCATGCAGAGGACAAAAAAAAAAAAAAATTATCAGGGTTAAAGTTACTTTTTTTTGTCAAGTAGATTTTTTAAAAACTTAGAAAAAAGTAATACTTAAAGTGATGGGTGGTATCATTCAGCACTGAGCTGGCCGTTCATGTTGATAGGAGCAGAGAAGAGCTCTGTCATGAAATTTGCCCACACTCTGTCATTGAACAAGGAGCAGAGGTGTTGGCCCGTTCCATAGCACATTTCTCTAGTTTTACCATCCCTCCTTCAGAAGGGATCACAGGCTCTACTCAGGTCTAAGGTGACAGGTGAGGCTGAGGACATCAAGATGGCATTTGCTTCTCCCTCTCATTTACTACCAGAAGGAAAAATCACTTCCTGTCTCTCTATACCTTTTCACCAGACCCTACTTCTTCCTGCTCTAGTGGCTTTTCTGTTACAGCTGTAAAAGGTAATCTGGCTTATG